TACAGAGGTAAGAGACTGATAGAAGTGATAAAGTAACAAGTTATGCTCCCTTGCATTTGATGTAGAATGAACAAGAAATTTTAACAAAAATTGGGCAAAGCAAAGCTGTTTGAAGTGAAGCCACTGAGAGTTAATTAGAACTACAGGTGGAGTTATCTCACCATTGTAGGATTCAAACTTAACTGTGATGAGTGGCACAATCACCATAACAACTTCTGTAACATGTATGGAAAATGGGAAAGTTGCTAGTTTGGGACAAAATCACTTCTTTAGGTCTGTTTTAAACTCACATTTACTATTACAACTGATTTATTTCAAACTATTTCATTTTTGTCGCATTTCATTCAAATTTGTATTTACCAATAATCCTTTGTGGGTGTGGTCTTTTTCACAAATAATCAATTTCGAGTTCACTGACACAGTAAAAAGTAAAAATAATACCATTTTGTACTACATGGAGGCTAGTATCTCCTCATTGAGATCAACTGGCACTCTAAAAACTGACTTTCTGTCTCTTTTTACAACTTGAAGATCACATCGCCATTTTTCTCTTGCAAATTCAATTCTCTTATTGCAATTCTTTTCATTATAATTTAGATTCTTTAGCCTATTCTTTTCCTGCTTTTTCCTCCTCCAGTCTTTGATCCTCAAAAGCTTTTCTTCCTTTTTGTTAGCCATACCTCTTTTCCAGCGCACTTGAAGCGATATTTACAAATTGCTCAATCCCAGAAAAACTAATGACCTTGAACACCCTGAAACCCTTGATAATGTCGCAGAAACCCACAAAACAGGAAAGGTCACCAAGCTGTTTTCAACACAGAGATGAAAAGATGAAAGCGAAAATGGCAGAGCAAACAGCAGATATCATAGTGCTTTTGGTGGCAATGGTGGCGAGACTCCATTCTCAGTATATGGCGTCAACATAGTAAAAAGTGTAGCGACTTGGTCAAAAGTGAATATTTTGGCTGTTTCTAAAGATATGGACACGAAAACTTGGAAATGACAAGGGAAACTTATGAGCATTGAAGTGCAATCAATTTCGAAACCCGACTTTGCCATGTTTGAAGTATTAAGTGGCGAAGGAGAAGGTAAGTTGATGAAAAATATTATTGCATAACCAGATTTTAGAAAACTGTAGTGACTGTTTTACACTGATATTTCTCTGTTTATAGTCAATCCTTTAGACTGATTTTTCACTATTTTAGAACACCAAGTATGAGCATTTGGTTGATGTGTTTTTGTTCCCACAGGATTCCAGTTTAGTCAATCTGTGGACAACAACTTGGTATACTTCCAAATTCTGAAACTCAGCGTTACACAAAGGAATATTCAGGAATGATGAATCCTTTCTATGTGTTTTAATAAACTTGAAATGTTAAAGTTTTGCTCAAATATAGCGTTTATTGTGCGTTATCATTAGGTGTCATTTGTTTGCTAAAAACGAGCTTTCTTTTTACTGAAAATTATGTATTTCAAAAATTTTTACCACTGAGATTGTGTTACGTATTACAACCAATTATTGGCTCGATTTTTTTTTCCCGGGTATTTTTGACGGTAATGTGGTTTTCTGATTTTATGCTTTTACAATAATCAACATGAACAACCATACCTCTAAGCAAAGATTTGGCCTTAATAAAATGTAAAACAGAAGAAATCAATGAAAGTTTGCAGTCAACCCCCTATAGGCATGGTGATTGTGCTACTCATCAGTATATACCCAACAGTGTCATAGCAGTGATATTTGAAAAATAAATTATATCAAACTATTGTCAAAATGGCAAATTCAAGATATCAAAATCAACATTAAGAAAAAGAGGTTTCAATCTAAGTCAATACTAAAGTGACTGACAGTTAACAATTCATAAACTGTTAGGAAAGGAAACTGGGCAAAGTCGTGATCATAAATGCTTGTCACATTAACACACCTCTAAGAAACTGACATCAACAAATCATTACAGAATCATGCCCATTGCAAAGCGTCACCCAGGAAAAGTGGGGTACCGATGATGCTCTGTGGGTGTAATGACCTGGGAATGAGGTTGCAAAAACTCACCACCAGCATCAGTCTCTTAAGATCTGAATTGACAAATTCCTAAATGGGATTTGTAAAATTTCACTTTGCATCCTTTAGAGACAATGGGGATACAATTGGAGCAATTAGTATTGTTTGAAAGAGATGAAATGCTGGTAAAGCTGAGTTGGAACTGAGCGTGTACTTACGTGGAGTGGAAATTTACAAGGTATACTTAAGCTTTTTGAAAAGTAAATAGACTTTGCCAACGTGTTATCTGAAACTGCCAGCAATAACTGGCTAAAAAGAAATATTTCTGTAATGTTATTTTGCTTTCATGGCGAACTTGATGGTCAAACCTCGTAAATCTGCCACATTTTAGTCTTAAAACAAATTAAAAACTCGACATTTGAAGGGTAATTTAATTTTACATCTGACCGATTTTTAAACAATTTAGACTAATCAAGATAACGCTATTAATTACTTCTATTCTTCATCGATGAATAGCGCTACGTTTCGGTTGTCTGAGCAAGAAACAATACTTGGGAACACGGCATACACGGAGGATTACATGATTGACAGTCAGATTGACAGGCCTGTGTGAAGTTATGCATGCTCTCTTTCTCTTTTCTAGCTTATTTGCATTTTCCCGTGCGACGTTTTCCAATGGGCGCGATTCCTTAATGGTAATTTACAGCGTACAAAGTTTGAATCAGGTTTAAGTAATGTTTCATATCGGTTGACTTGGCTTTAACATTTCGGTTTACTTGTATTAAGACTATTTCTCCTGGCCGAGATGCTTTTAAATGTGGTGAATTTAGCTTTAATTTGTAAACTGATGTCAATTAAACGATACTCACTACGTTGAAGTTGATGCACTGTGTTCAAGCAGTTACCGATGAATTCTAAGTTCATCGATTTTAAAAGAACAGTCTCAAGTAATTGAAATAAAACAAACGAACAACCAGACAACAATGAGATACTGGAAAAACAAAGAATTCATGCGCAAGGCTCCCTATAGATAAACAGGAACATGATGACATAGGCAACTTTCTCTTTCGTGATGACGCATTGAAGGTTGCTGATCTTTTATGTACGTAAACAACTACTGTAAATGCCAATTTACAAAAATCACTTAAGCCACAATGAAACATGCAATATTACATTTTCTCATGCGTTCATGAGTTAGAAATCTTGAGCTTCCAGTAAAACCATCTAATAGATGCATTCTCGCTTGAGTTAGCTGACTACAACCTTACCTCCATTTCACCTTTACTCCACAATTGCACATGTCCGTGTTTGATGAAACTGAGCTACAGCTGTTGTACAACTTCAACTTGGTTAAATGAAATTTACATAATGAACTGTTTTACAAGTTCAGAGCGGAGCAGAAAGGATGAAACACGAGGATTCTTTAGCTGAAAGGCGACTTTCACTTCATCAACTTGCTGATTTCACGAGGAAACTGCCAAGCCCCGCCTTTGCATTCCAGCTAAGCTTGCCAGTCACGTGATAAAGTAATGTTTGCCGCAGGCTAGAAGTGCTGAATGTTTTAAAAATATATTTCATTGTTATTGATCACTCCTTGTAGTAGTAGTAGTTTGGCTCGACATTCTATAAGCGACCTTTATGCCACAAAAAGAAAGAGAAATGATCAGTGAAATACTGAAGTAAAACCATTCCGTGACTCCTTGATGACTTGTTGAATGTTGCGTGACAACATATAGCACTGAGTCACGGAATTTGTGTCTACACCGACTCAACTTCACTGACATATTTTATAAGCCTCTCCAGTTAGGAAACGTGTGTATTTCTGTAAAATTATTACCGTTTTTGTATTCATCAAGATCTGCCCACTGTAACAGAGATGAGGTTCACCTTCGCCTGCTGTTGTAGTATCTCAGATCAGTTAGTCTAGAAAACATGCATAAACGTCTGGACTATTCTATTCGGTAAAACGTATCAAGCGTGGCTACCTCATGATAAGAGAACGAATTATTCCAGCAACACGAGTATAATTACTGACCGAATTGGACAACACGAAGTCTTATTACCAATTAATCCTAAAAATTACAATTTCCAAACAAAACTACTTCTGTCTTCTAAAATATTGTCATTGTGATTGAAACCAAGGTTGTGATTGGTTGATTTAAACTACAACTTTGAATGTGATTAGCTTATTGAACTGTCTGATAACAAACTGACTGATAATAACTTAATAAATGAATTAGTGGAAAACAAGAGTTTTTTAAACCAATCACAATCGAGGAAATGTGATTTTTATGATAACAGTGTTCAGCAAATGAAAGGCCTTTCCATTTGCTAGTAAAATGTAATCGCGTGAGTTCTCTTCGCCTTGTGCAATGACACACTTAAATGATCACAGCATACGGAAACCTTAAAAATGTCCCTTGCAGTCAAGCAACTTTTCCCTGGAAGCCATCTACGTTGCAGAATTCAACAGAACTTAAGGATCAGACCCAGCCCACTGCAGTAATAAAGGAAGTGCCACTCGATATGACAAAATTTACACTCAACAGTTTCCCTAGGCCTGTTCAAATACTGATGTACATATTTTCGCTACCCGTCGTGCTACATTATGCAGAGTAAGTTGATAAATCGATAATGTCTCTGTATTTCACCCATAAAATCACCATTGTTTCGCGAAATTTGGAAAAAACATCTAAAAAAGATTGGTATGAAGAAGAGTATTAAGCGAATAACGAATCATGTTTGAAATACTAACGACGTAAACCACTGCTCGTTAACATTCAAAGGTTTTGAGCAAACTCTGAAAATGTAATGCAATTTAACAATACGCTAGAGAAAGTAAGTACACTCACCAATGCTTAAATTAACAATACGGTGGACGAATTCATTCGTTGTCTCCTGTTGTGAAAATGTTTCTGCTCTATTTCTGAATTTGTTGCGATCTCTCTTGATTATTAAACGAAAAAAAAAACATATCCTCAAAGAAGGTATTCCTCTTCCACACTTTGTTTTTATTTGCAAAATACACCGAGCTACACAATGATTCTTGCGAAGCCTTTTCCCTAGAAATGGTAAATGTACACGATATAGAACTTTGAAATCTCTAACACACGGTCACCGAGAGATTCAGGCTGGACAGTCTGTTGAATATTCAATATACATTACAACTTTGACAAAGTGTCGATTTACCCTAAATAGTCGCTATGTAAGTAGTCAATATCGCTCTTAAATCACAGAAACCATTCCCTTCCTCTGTACAACAGATACCACTGTATAGCTGTTTTAATCTACAGACCTATTTTTGTTTACAACGTCATTGGTATTTCTTACGAGTATCTCTACTGCGTGTACACATATATAAATGTGAACCTTTGACATGAATATCATTTTCACGGAAAATGAGCTTTCAGCTCCGAACTTCGAACTGTCATGTAAAGGAAGTCTTTGTAAATATTTCATTGACATCTCAATCGCATCACGCCACTCCGACTTAGCGCGTTTACGTAAGAGTCGCCATGACGACAGACAAATCTAGTCTAAAACTTCATAGAATACGTTATTTCTCAGGCTGAAGTTTCCTACAATTTCTTGTCAAAATAACAATAAGAGACTTAACTTATATGACCCATTTACAAGTTCAGCCATTACTGAATGAAGTTACTATCTATAGTAAATTTTAAAAGTTGTGCAAAACTAACCCTCGATCAATTTACAAGTAAAGTCAGTGAACATTATCTAACTACGAGCACTTCAACAAATACTAAGGAATATTAGGGTGGATCTCGTTTCATGGTCGCTTCCTAAGAAATTTTTCAGTTCCTGATTTCCAGGATTCTGTGAAAGCTGCCTCGAGCGCTTTCGCACAAAAGCACGTTTAAGACCTGATACATAGCTCTGTGTATGTCTGTCGTTAGCTTCTCACGCGTGTTTTTTTTTCCTAGACGGCTCTCCTAGGGTCTACTCATCGATGTTTGCCTGACACTCCAACAAAGAGAAGTCAAATCGCACAACGATATTAAGAGGTTTTGGTCAAACTTTTAAACCTCCGCCGAATGTGACAGTTCTGCTGAAGAACTACAAGGAATCAAATTATATAGCAAATATATTTGCCCCTAAAACGGGGATTACATTCGGAGATTAACAATTTGGATAGCACGCTAATTAGATTAATCACCAGTCGTCCTTTCTTTTCTCGTCCACATTTTTATGTTTCTTTTTCTTTTTCTCCTTTTCCCCAGGCATGTGTAGTGATTCTAGTCTAACCGGTCTTCCCATGGCGGGCATCCCTCCCACACTTCCACCGCTTCCCTGGGGTGCCCCATTGTTTAAGTTTCCGCTGGATCCTCCGGCCCCAAGGAATCCGAGCTGAGGGCGGGACCCCCCTGAGGGAGGTGATTCTCGTCTGTCGAATCGTTCAAACCGGGTATTCTCAGCCAAAAGGCGGTCAGCTCTCTTAGGTTTAAAATAACTCGATGCGTAGTCTTCGTGAGAGCTCCGCGAAAGATGTTTCAGAAAGAGATCTTCACTTGGCTCCTCAGGGTATCCCCCCACATGTCCGTTGACAGCTTGGCTTTGACTGTTCATCTGGGGTCTATTAATGGGGGACTTCCGGCCTCGGGCAGGGGTGCCCGCACCCGGCATAATCCCAGGGGTTGGAAGAGTCGTCTTCGTAATAACAAGTTCAGGGATGTTCCATTTTCCTAATTCGTCGTTCCAAGAGCTCTCCGAGCGAATCCTGTCAATGTTATAATAGTTACAGTCGCGGCGAATGCACGGCTGGATTTTATCTAAAATCTGTTGCTGAAGCTTAATCATTTGCTCTTGTTTACGAATCGTTTCCAAGTAATCTTCACGATCGCGTTCGAATTCAGTTTGCAGATCGTCGATCTCTGACTGCGCAGACTTTAATTTCCCTTCCATCTCATTGATGACATTGTTCTTGGCTTTTATTTCATCCTGTAAATTATCGTAAACCTTCACCATTATGCCATCATCTTCCATCTTCTTGACTGCCTTGGCAAGTTTTTCTCTTTGTGACAAAGCATAGTTTTTCCTAGCCTTTCTTTTCTCCTTTAACTTCTGGTCATTTTTTCTCTCGCCACCCACAAATTTTTCTTGAAGTTCTTGCAATCTTTTGACCAATACATCGTTTGGAAGGCCTTGACTTAAAAAGCGTAAGTCTTCCAGTCCGGGTATTAGGTTCTTCACCTCCTGGATACCTTTGATAGCCTTGTCTTGAACTGCCTGAAACGCACTCTGATGGTGGCCCGAGTCCTGTATGCCCTGTAAGGGTCCTGTTATCACATCCAATTCTGTGTTTGGACGCTGATCCTGGCAGGAATTAATGGAAATAAAGGTTTAATTCAAATGTCATGTTCGTCTGTCATCGTAAAACATGTGTTGATGCTGGATAGACAGTTGGAAGGACTCACAGTAGACAGACATAAGAAAGACTGAAAGACAGGATAGACAGACTGAGAATAGACAGACAGACGGACAGACAGACAGATGGACAAAGATTTGACAGACAAACTAGCAGAGAAAATCAGACACACACAGTGAACAGAGGCAGACTCACTGACAGACAGAGAATAGACCGACACATGCAGACAGAAAAAAAAAATGTGGAAGAGGAATACCTTCTTTGAGGATATGAGTATTTTTTTTTTAGGTTCAACAATCAATAGATATCACAACAACTTCAGAAATAGAGCAGGCAGAGAAAGAATACACAGACAGACAGAAAGACAGACTGAGAATCAACAGACAGATAAACAGACACAGTGGGCAGACATGCAAGATAGACAGAAATAGGATGAACACACACAAATGATTGACAGACAGACCAATATAGGAAAGAAATACAGACAGAGTGAAACAAATAAAAATACAGTAGACAAACAGAAAGACACATCAACAAACAAAAACACTTATGTGGATGGAAAACAAGCAAAGGGAAAACAGACAGGGCTGAGAACTCAGCTAACTATCTGTCAAAAACCTCTTGCAGGAACAAAGGGTAACATTTGTCCCACCAACCAGTATAACATTGCACACCCTGTATGGTGCATTAAAATCACATTATCAGGCAGATGAGAATGCATGCATCCAAGAACATGGTATTATTTTTCAATCAATGGACCAGGTGAAGAAGTGCGATGGTCATCAGCTCTTGAACGAGCATGGTGACCACCATTAATCAGGACATTACATTTCTGTCAACAGTAAACCAAACTACAGCCACCCCACTGTTTGGTAGCCCTCATAAGTAACTATAAATACTCACCATCTCATTTGCCGAGGCAATCATACTGATAGCACCCTCTTCCTGTTGGCCACCTGTCCCCATCCCTCCTGGGGTGACTGATGTCAAAGCAGTCTTGCCACTGTATTGTTCCTCAACATTGTGTACCTTGTTGTTGAAATCATTTTGTAGTTGTTCCATTTCTTCTTGAAGCTTCTGTTTGGACATAAGTTCTGCTTCATAAGATGACTTCATCTCAGCCAGCTTTGCCTCATACTCTTTCCTGAGATTTTCAGTTTCCCTGGCCACAACGGCAGTGTGATCCTGTGGTGGTGCAGCTATATGACGGGCAGGAACAGAGGGCTGGCCTCCTGCTAAAGTTCATACACAAGAGGTTATATACTTACATTAGATATAAACTGTGTGGCAACATTCAAAGTCAACTTTAAATTGTCCTTACCAGTTGCAAAATCAGTTGGAATTTCCATCTGCCCCATCAACATTGCTTTAAGTTTCTGGATTTCCTCTTGGTATTCCCTTAGAAGTGCATCTTTTGGATCTTCATTGATCTTAGGTTTATTCTTAATATTCTTTGCACGATTTGCATAGCGCAAGGTACTCAGAGTTTCATCGTAGTTGTTGTCTGCAGGACTTAGACAGGCAACCATCAATGTCTTGGTGTTTCCACCCAAGGAATCCTAAAAAGGTCAAAACATTTTTCTCTATCAATGATTCCATTAGGTTTGACCATTGATGAAATGACCTTGCACAAAGGGATTTTAAATAACTAACATGAATTTTGCAGGAGACACAGTCACTAAGTGGACTCCATATCAACAGATTCCCAGTTAACCCTTTAACTCCCAAGATCTGATTGTTAATTCTCCCCTCTAGCTGCTTCACATTTCCTTGTAAATCAATTACAAGAATTTGGTGTTGGAGAAAAACAACAACTTGTACTTGATAAATTTGAGTATTCTCATTACCTGTGTGGTGGATAATGTATTGATTTTACAGGGAGAATTTACATGTTAATCACTTCTGGGAGGCAAAGGGGTAAGCCCTATTTAGAGTTATATTGATGCATCCATGTGCACGACACTTGATTCTCCAAGTGCTTCCCTCCACTTGGGAGCATGAATAATTAGATACCAGCCAGCTGGTGATTATTTCCAAATGCAAATGAGGCCACCCATCAAGTAGAATTGGCAATATTCTCACTTTATACTTCAGAAAAAAAACATAATGAGGCACATGTGTGCTACTGGGGTTGCAAAGGAAAAGTTGCCTTTCACATTCCCTAAAACTTTTTAAAGTGTAGAGCACACTCCTCAAAGTCTAGAGCTTTCCAATATCTTCTAAGATCAAAAGAACTCTGCTCAGAAGATAGATACTTTCGCTTGACAGAAATCACAATATACTTACCTGAAGCAGTCTGGTTAACTTGGAATCCCGATATGGAATGTGGGTTGACTTTCCGTCAACCAAAGCAGATATAACATTTCCCAAAGCTGAAAGTGACAGATTAATCTTTGTGGCTTCCTTCAGCCGGTCTCCTGTAGCGCCAGTTTTAGATTGTCTCTCACTCCCAGCCAAGTCAACAAGGTTGAGTTTACCAGCTCTAATGTGGTCTCCCTTCTCATCAGCTGTCTCCATAATCTCTATGTTTATGGTGAAAATTGAATGGGATCTTGACGAATCGGCATTCATTAGAGTAGCACCTACTGAACGGTTCTTACTTCCAAGGTCCATAACCTTCTCCATTTCAGGCACACTATTCACAGGGTTCATGGTAAGATCCTTGACATAAACGCCTCTATCAGGATGTTCCTTAAGTTCCAGCTTTGTTTTATGGTCCTTTCCAAGAAGATCCCTGATTTCTTCATTGTAAATCTCCAAATAAGAGGCATGAACTAAGAACTTGGTATTCTCTGCAACTTGAATGCTGTCAAAAATATGTTCAAATGCACGTGGGATAACACCTCTTTGAGTGGGAGGGTCAGTTATACCTTGCATACTGAATGACTTTCCGCATCCTGTCTGACCATAGGCAAACACAGTACCATTGTATCCCTCTAACACTCCGTCGACCAGTGGGAAACAGATGTCATTGTATATGGTCTCAGTAGTAGAGTCGATATAGTATGCACCATCAAATGTAAAAGTTTTTGGTGGCTGTGTCTTATCTCCAGGTTTGCTTAAAGCACACTGCCCTGTAGAGGAATCCATCTGAACTACAACCTCACAATTCAAGTCCTTTTCACGTCGGTTGAGAGGCCGACAACGAACAATCACCTTGACTGCTTCAGCCATGATTCTTGTCGAATAAGAAATAAGAATGAGAAGTTTTGTTAAATAAGCCAGTGAGATTCATATATTGTGTAATACCATGGTAGATATAAATGCTATGGTTCAAAATTTTCCTTGGCTTAGAATGAATCTTTTTCAAACTGCTCTAGTTTGATTTTTGTTTTTCTATGTGTCATACTATCTCAGGAACTGCAAAGGCTACAGAATTGTGCAGCACATATCATACCCTTCTCTAATTATGATAGTTATACTAATGAGGTTTTAAGTAATTCAAATTAAAATAAACTTAATATCATTGACAGGCCATAAGTAAAGCAATTATGAAGAAGAACACCATAACCAAGAAGACTCCAATCTACTTGAGTTCTCACTTTTGTCTGCATGATGAAGTCCTAACATACAATCTCAGAAATGCTGGATGCTAAAGGTATCTATTCCTCAACCTCCAACTAATCATTGTAAACAAAGTTTTAGGTATAGGGGAGCTGTGTTATGGAATAAAGGTAAAAGAATGAATTAAAAATGAAATTGAAAAACAACACTTTCCAAAGCCAGATTAATCAGCACTATCTTACATACTGTACATCAACATCCTTGTAGAGCAGGTTTACTGATTTTATAACAAATAGTTAGCCTTTCATTTGTTAGTTTGTTCAGGGTTTTTAATTCTCTAAGAAATTGTACCTGAAATGAAAACACCGTGTTTAAATAAAGTTTAAAAAATAAAAATTTTAGCATTGAAGTTTGCACTGGTCAGCTGAAAGGTTAATGAAATGTGACAACAAACAGGAAACCCAATTTCTTAGTGTGAAATAAAAATTAAATTTTAGCATCTTTTACCACCATTGAAAATGGTCATATACAAATCGAGGACCCTATTTATAAATGGGATAATACTTCAGGTGATAACTCAGCACACATTTACCTATGGGGCTGAAGTTAAAAGCCCGCCCTTGAGTACATGATGTGTGTTCAAACTTAAGTTGCACAAACTGGTATAACACCTGTCACACAATCGTTCCCAGGGAAGATCCATATATTCGACCTGCTGTACCTCAATTTTAAACCAAGTCAAATATGATTAATAATTTAGCTCGACCTTCATGGATATTTCCTCGATAGAAATTAGTAGCAAAGCTTATTTGTGTAAGTTCATACTATTTGGTTTGGAGCAAAAATTGGTATCATTCCCTTTATTCGCGAAAAAATTGCATCCTTGAATTGACTAGTTCAAAAGTTCGCTCTATATCGAAGAGTAAAACAACTAACGAAGAAAATTGACATTACATCAAGCGTGAAAACAATGGTATCATGGAAACCGTGGAAAAAATTAATGACACGAAGATCTTAATTGAGGTGGTGAGACTTCCTTTTAAGTTTAGGGCTTCATTTATCTTACCTTTAGTTGGAATCAACTGCACGACTTCTGAGGTTTTTCGAGGAATTTACTTTCTGTTGTGCCACCACGCTAAGGGCTAAATCTGTAAAAAGCTGAAAAACTCATCTTCGGATCTCTACGAACCGCATCATGCTGTGCGCATAACTATCTTCGGGAAAACCTTGCGAACAAAAAAAACGACCGATCTTGGTTTACATCATCACATATACAGAATGTGGCTGTATTTTCACAACACTGCTCTTACAAAAGCGTTTGATGGGGAAATATTAGCAAATCACAGCTGAATTTAGGGTATAGTCTCTGTATGTGACCGCCATCTTCCTCAGTAATGACGTTGTTAGCCTTATTTGGAGTCAGCTTGTGTTAGATACTACCATGACAACCGTTTCCTCGGAGTAGGTACGCAGCACATGCAAAGTGCTGCTCAAAGCAATTCTCTGAAACAAATCCGAAAGCAGCATCCTGTCTTAAAAATGCGCTTGAAGAGGTAAGGTCTTTTGAATTCTAAGGCCTTTGCGATAAAACAGAAGCCAACAGCTGTAGCTCCTCGTAAAACTTAGAAATAATCTGATCATTGTTTTCCTTAATCGAAAATTACCCCTTTGATATAACCTGCCCAGTCCAGCCAATTATTCTTGTTATCATTATTTTATTATTATTATATCATTATAGTTATTTCTATCAACTCTTTGGTTGTGAGGAGTGCTCGCTTTGTAAATCTCTCCTTATGTTTAATACAAAGTCAAGGATTCAGGTTTAGAGAATAAAAAAGACTCCTTGGTAACAAAGGAATACGGTCTCGATAATTCTGGTCACTAGATTGCCATGACAAGCGAACAGGTTAATTTTCTCTTTGTTTGTTTGCTTTTTTTCGCTTTCAAGAAGTGCAAATAAATCTGAAATATTGTCTTAAATTTGTTTACCTTTTCAACCTCGGGATGACCAATAAGTAAGTTCTCCTTTCATCATTCGGGCAGAAGAAAAGGAAACATCATCTCGGTAGTATTGCTTGATTTACTGACAAATTATTAGAGTCCATTAAGTTACAGGATATTTATGGCAGACAGTAAAGATAATTGATGTTGAGGTCCTAGAAGTAAAAGGCTCGTTATAAAATTTTCCTCTCGCTGAAGTGATTTCGAAATCGAAAAGAAAACAAAGCTCAGAAAATGCAAAAGACCACTAGAAAAAAACAAAACAAAATAAAAATCATCATAATAGTTAAAATAAACATAACGAAAAAAAGAGAAACACATAATCATCTTTGAAAGGAAATCCCGAATACGTCATTATTTATTTATTGTTTCTGTTTTTTTTGGTTTTTTTTTTTGTTTTGTTTTTTTAAGGAAGGGGCGTCTCCTGACTCGAACTTAGTTACTAGCAGCTGTGAAATCTATCCACTATTTTGGAGGGCTTAGCTTCTGTTATCACTGCAAATTGGACGCTCGGAACACGCCAAGACTCTGGCTTGAAGCAGAATGAAACTACCTATAACGAAAGTGTTCGAAGCGCTGTCCGGTCTTGCCAGCACAATTTGTCAAACAAAAAGCGTTTGAATAATTAACATGCATCAGAACGTTGCATTCTGATTCCTCGACATGCGACAGAAGTGTTAATTCAGAGCGTTCTAAATTCTTACATTTTGAGTTATCACGACAAATCAGTCTCTCTTGTTCGGTTCTAGTATTAGCGAGGCTTGGCCTAATCCAAACAGCAAGCCAAACAATATTGAGCTCTTCTTTATAAGATCTTCGACTTCAACACACGCAAGGTTGCACGGGAAAATCGTTGTGAAACATAAATACTTTGAGTGACGTTCGCCTGAGTACATTTCGTAATTTATTGCAAGAGTGTTTGGAGGAAGCCGTCAACTGATAGTAAAAGCTCCGTTTCGTTCTGTTTAACACAGTATGGCGAAGATACAAGGTATTAGCGTAACGATCCTTTCTTAAATTAAATTAATAGATTTTTGAGCTGCTATAGCAATTTATTTTATAGTCTAACAATTCTCGTTTCGATGGCGTTTCTGTGAGTATGAAAACTATGTGAGCTTTTATGTCATCACATTGTTCTTAAGTCGAACAGGGAGAATTACAAATCGGTTTCATTTCTTGTCCTTCCAGCTGGTCCAGTGGTCGAAATGAAAGGAGACGAGATGACGCGGTATGTAGATATTAATTTCAAGGGATTGAAGGACAAAGTTCACTTAAAATTGCTGTTGTCTTCGAATAACATCATACTTGCAAGGGTCAAATTTAAAAGAAATGTACATTTAAATGTGCTTTGACTTTTTAGCTAAGATCTGTAGGATTTTTTTTCACAGAAATTGTCATTCATCAGACGATGAATTAAAAATATTGGACTGAAATTGCCGATTTTGTACATATTACATGCTGATTTAACTCGCGTGGACGAACCAACTGTGTGTGACACAATGGCTGGGAGTGTCAGTTTTCGCTGACTAATTTTGAAATTTGTTTCGTGACAAGATTGTGAAGGCCATGCCCTGACGAGACGTTTATTTCACCATCTCATTTGGTAGTGAAAACATACCTTGATTTTTTTTTATTTATGTGCAATATTGCTTTTTAAAGTTAGTTTATTTTTCGGTGTACACCGTTAAAAATTTGTTTATAAATACGTCCGAAGATAGATTAAAGTTACTGCCAAACGAATATATCATTTAAGCCGAGACAAAAATTTCCAACCCGGAATATTAATAACGGAGGAAATCGCTGATGCAACTGTGCATTGGAAATTCCTCTATAGTTTGATCTTCAGATACTGAGCTCAGTAGCTGTAATTATAGCGAGACTGAACCAATTGCTGTAACAATTTATTGTTATTTATATATTGGACATGTTAATTTTAGATCCCTTGAGAGGTTTTATTGTTTGGCTTAGAAGTGCAATATTAAAAATATCCTAATAGTGGGAAGAGTGGTGTTTAAATTACTACCCATCTACCACAATTTTGTGGTAGATGGAAGAGTGGTGTATAAATTACTACCCATCTACCACAATTTTGTGGTAGATGGGTAGTTGTAATTTGAAAGACATGGTAACCTCATGATTTTCACATGGGCTTGAGAGTGAAAGATCTGCAAGGGTTTCAGGTCTTGGTTTCAATAACTTTAAATTTTTAATAACCAGCCAGCAATGTTATAGTAGGGGGCTGTGCCTGAAAAGGGGTAGTGAGGCAAAACCCAGACACTAGTGCCTATGCTTGCAGGTCAAAAAGATGGCTGTCAGAGGACTCACATGCAGCTGCTAGTAACTGTTTTTTTTAAACCCTAATGGTTGATGTTTGCATGGAATCATTTTGTTGCATTTGTGGGCAGAATACTCTACTCTTGCGGTTCTTATTCCCAATGTGACCTCAGTTATGCAAAGGTTAGATAGCCCTATCCACTGGATAGAGATTGATCCCTTGGATAGTGTTATACAGCCCTTGAACACAAGGTCAGGAATATGTCATGCTTTTGAGATGTGAGATGTTCTCATATTCTAACTAACTATTTGCATGTCAAAGAATTTCCCAATCTAATAATGTACATGAAAAAATTATAGCTGAAAATAAGTGCATTCTCATGTAACATGAGTGCAAAGTTAGTTGTAACACAAGAGCAAAGTTGTAACACAAATGCAATTTACAAACAATGCACACACACTTTCAAAAATTTGTTTGTCTTGACTTTCTGTGATGTTTTTTCATCTGGCATTTTGGTGCGTGAAGCACTTCTAAATTGTTCAAAAACTACAAATTGCACTTGTCCTATGGGCTCATTTAATTTTGTTGTCTTGGAAAAATTTACTTGTGCCTAGTAACTGCAAATTGCACTTGAAATCATGTGATTGCTTATATAAATACCACCTGACTTTATTTTCCCTTTTCTTTAAGGATTATTTGGGAACTCATTAAAGATAAACTAATATTTCCATATGTGGAGTTAGATGTGAAGTCTTATGACCTTTCCATTGAGAACAGGGATGAAACAGATGACAAAGGTATATTATTTCATTTTATTGAAGTTTACACTTCTCAATCTATCAGAACATGCATATGTTTTAGCTAAAAGTTTTTCTCATGTCAAAATATCTTGGACTAGCCAAATTTTTAGTGTCCTTTGTTTTAAATACCAAATTATTCAAAATTTTGGATTAAAAAAGAAACAAAAATTTGAGTCACAGCAAAAATTTGCTATAGGGTTTTTATGAACCCATCAGCTCCTAGAAATAATGGACATTTTGAATCATGCATTATTCACAAACAGGGAATGGTTAGATTGAATCTGTTATTTAGAGGGTGTTAAGATCAAACCCCAGAAGTACAAAAATTAAAAATATATTTGATTTTTAATTATAACATAGCTAGTAAATTTGTGTAATCAAATTCAATTGCACAAGTGTGCTTCATATTCCTATTGTGCACGCTCATGATGTCAGCAAACAAATCCCTCAAGAAAAAAAAATTTCCATTAGGTTGAAAATGTTATAAAACAATTGGTTCATACATCAGCTGTGTGTTCATCGAGATATGAAGCACTTGGGAAGTTTGGAGGGCACTCAAGAAGCTAGAGTTGCTCTCGGTTATGCCTCGAGCAGCTCTTACGCATCTTTTGTGCTCTCCAAACTTCCCTCGTGCCTCGTATCTCGATGAACACACACTGACGTATGAACCAATTGTTAATTAATGTTTAAGCTATACAGACATCATAATACAGACATTGTAATCCATACATTTATTTTTGTTTTTAATCCATGTTTGCCAAATTTGACACCATCAATTTATACACCTATACCTCTATATGTAGACATAGTTAGACATACTTACACATGCATCAGTTTCCCCCTTCCTGCTCTATTAAAAAAAAAATTGTAACTTAATTTATTTAACAATCTGAAATTTTGAAATTTTATCTTATGAAGTGAAGCTTTTCTCCTCAGTCACTGTTGAAGCTGCAGAGGCAGTAAGAAAATACAGTGTAGGAATAAAGTGTGCCACCATCACTCCAGATGAGAAACGAGTGGAAGGTGGGTAGCCTTGATCAGAGCATACTACACCCTTAGAGTTAATTAGTTGGGACATGTCTTTTTAACGCTACTTGTGTTCCTTTCTTGCCTCTCTTTCCTGTACCATGTTGTCAATTTTCAGTTTGTATATGGTACTTTAGTGACCAACTTTGAGAGGGGCCAGCAACTTTCCCAAGAAATGAGTCTGGAAGTGTGCAATTTTATTGGATTGCAATTTTTCGCTCAGTTCAGTTAAGATGGATTAAAAAGATGCTATAGCTGTTTAATTTTGAGTTCTTATTTTGTAC